GTAGGAGACGAAACTATAAAACACTTAGGAAAAAAACATAGAGTTAATCTTAATGATCTTGGATTTGGCAAAGGATTCTTAGGTATGACACCAAAAGCATGAGCGACAAAATTAAAAATAGATAAATTGTATTTCATCAAAATTAAAATAGTTTGTGCTTCAAATGACACAATCAAGTAAGTGGAAAGACAACCCACATAATGGAAGAAAATATTTGCAAATCCTGTATCTGATGAGGATTTAATATCCTGAATGTATAAAGAACTCCTACAACTCAACACAAAAGACAACCCAACTAAAAAATGGGCAAAGGACTTAAATAGATGTTTCTCTGAAGAAGATATATAAATGGCCAATGAGCACATGAGAAGATAGTATCTCTAGCCCTCAGGAAAACACAACTTAAAGCCTGAGACTTCACACCCACTAGGCTGGCTGGAATCAAAATGTCAGATAATAGCAAGTGTTGGAAAGAATATGGAGAAATCGAACTTTCCACTATAATTTACCACAGATTGAATGGGGGAATCAACTGATCATCTCAATATATGCAGAAAAAGCATCTGATAAAGTACAACACTCACTGATGATAAAATGTCCTATTAACTAGTTGCAGAAGGAAATGTAGGTCACCTGGAAGAGGTATTTTGAAAACCCCCCTGCACATTATCATGCTTATGGTGAAATGTTAAAAGTATTTCCTTTAAAAAGCAAGAATAAGACAAAATGCCCCTTCTGGAAACTTCTAGCCACACTCACACTGCAGGCTCTAGCCGGCCCAGTAAGACAGGAGAAAGAGGTAAGGGATGGGTACCACTGTGCTTTGTTTCAGTTCCAGTTAACAGAAAACCCAAACAATTGCTTACACGGGTAGGAACGCAATCCTCTCTGGCCCCTGAGGCCTCTCCAGCCTCCTGCAGGGTCCGGGGGCGCTGCCTCTGGGTCTCTGTTTGCATTCACCACCCCAAGTTGTGGAAACAGGGGCTCGCCGAGGGTAGGGGTGAGTACATGGTTCCTCGTTCTACAGATTTTCAAAGTCAACCTGGAAGAACAGTAACACCCCTTGGATGCGCACACGAACAACGCAGCTGTTTGGTGTGGTTTTTACAAACACGTGCTTCATAACATGCTGAGACATTTCCTGCCCACATTTTACTGCCTCTGAAATTTAGCATCTTTTCATCATGGCCATGTCGGTTAATTTGCTATATGCTTATTTTTCTTAATGGTCTAATCAATGGAAATACAGCATAACGTATGGAGTATCAGAAATAGCACAAACTGTGTATATTTAGCTAATGAGGCAACACGTTTTTAAAAGTCAAATGAAAGTACCAGAGTTTCGGGCCATCTGGGTAGCATCATGCATGATCACACCAGGGAAACACAGCGAACTACAGTGATTCAGAAATACCTCCTGAGGGCGCGCACAGATTTGGGACCAGCGAGGCCAGCAGAGAACCCTGCCCTTTGCCTGCCCCTGGCTGTGTCCATGAAGCATGGCATCTCTGGCGATGCAGAAATGGCATTTTTCTTAACATGCCAGTCATGGGAAGGTCTTTACAGTCTGTTGGGAGGCGGTACTGCCTAAGTAGTGTTTGCTTGTTATGAATGTTTTAAACGCAAAAAAAGCAAGCGTAAAATCACACGTCTGGGCTTCCCTGGTGGCGCAGTGGTTAAGAATCCGCCTGCCGATGCAGGGGACACGGGTTCGAGCCCTGGTCGGGGAAGATCCCACATGCCGCGGAGCGGCTGGGCCCGTGAGCCACAACTACTGAGCCTGCACTCTAGAGCCTGCAAGCCACGACTACTGAGCCCGCGAGCCACAACTACTGAAGCCTGCGCGCCTAGAGCCCGTGCTCCGCAACAAGAGAAGCCACCGCAATCAGAAGCCTGCGCACCACAATGAAGAGTAGCCCCTGCTCGCCACAACTAGAGAAAGCCACGCGCAGCAACGAGGACCCAATGTAGCCAAAAATAATAAATAAATACATTTATAAAAATAAAAAATAAAATCACACGTGCTGGCAAGGACAGTAGATACCACCGCCCCACAGCCCAGCTTCAGGAGCACCCGGTGTTTACTTTCAGGAGTCCCAGGAGGGGCCCCCACCTGCCCGGCACAGCTTCTTTACGATCGGTCAAGACCTGTGGTCAGATTGCGCGAGTCCCTCCCCCAGAAGAACTGAAGCACAACTGACCTGGCCCAACCCTCTGAGTGGCCCACAGGCGCAAGACCTGCGGCCTGGGGTCCACGCTTGGCACAGAGTAGGCCAGGTTGGCTTGGGGGCCAGCAGGGACCATAGAGCTGACTGGGTTCCAGGAAGGGACCCTGGGGTCCAGCCTGATCCCCACCCAGCAACCAGAGGTGACCCTGACGTGGGAGCCTCAGGGCAGTCTTCCTGAGAGCCAGGCGTGCTGGGTGGGTCACTGTCTAGGGTCCTCCCTAGTCCCACCTTCCCCACTCTGGCACTCTACCGGGGTCACCACAGTCCACACCTTTGCATAACTTGGCCACTCCTTGTACCCAGATCAGGTGGCCCCTGCGCCTCCAGAGAGGCGTGTTCTGCCCTGAACTGCTCTCCTGTCCCCCTGTCCAGGTGGTCTCCCAAGGGCAGGGCTGCTGTCTCCAAATCCAGCAGCCGGGCATGAGGCAGGTGACTGGGAACCAGCGGGGCTCGGGGGGAAGCAGGACTCTGGAGCTCGGACCCCTCCGTGCAGGGTCCTGATGGGTGAGTCCTCCCGCGTTGGCTCTGGCCAGCTGGGCAGCCTCAAGGCCTTGGAGACACAGTGGCTGAAGAGATGGCCGGCAGTGTCCCCCAGCCCCAGGACGTGGCCCAGGGCATTCAGGGGCCCGAGTTGTCCATGAGAAGGTGGACAGGCAGTAGAAGTCCACAATGCTCTGCCCTGGGCGGGAGCCTGGTATAGAACAATGGGAAAGTCTTGGTCTTGATAAGTTTGCTTCAGCCTTTCCCAGCAAGGGCACCCAGCTGGTGGGCTCTGGGCCTCCACAGAGCCTCGCTCACCCTCCAGTGGTCTGGGTGCCAAGCCCTGAGTCAGACAAAGGATGGTCGAGCTGCTCCGTGGGGTCCTGAGAGGAGAGGCTCCCTGGGGAGGTGTCTTGGTCAGAACCGGTTATGCAGACCCGCAGACCCACAGCAAATCGATGCAGCCGGTTCCTCTGCCAGCCCAGGGCTGCCCAGCGCTCTGGGGTGTGGAGCAGAGGATCAAGGTATTGACGGGCCTTAAAAAGCCGCAGATGTGGTCCTGCAGGCGCCTGGGCACACACAGAAGGCGGGTGGTCGCTCTCAGGGCCCCTGGGCCCCTCGTCCAGCTCCCTTGGTGCAGTGGCCCCCACCTGCCTTCTCTGGCACTTTCCAGACCACGGACGGGTCTGGCCCCTTGCAAATCGTGACTGGAGCTGGGTTCTGAGCTTAAGCAGCACAGGTTCAGGACTCGCTGGCCCACACCCCAGGAGGGACTGAACGCATCTGGCCTCCTCCCCCTTCCCATCACCAGGCCTTCATTCTTAGCAGCTGCACTTCAAGAACTGCGTTAGTTTCTCTTTCAAATTCATCCTGAGTTTGCATTTTTCCAGGAAACCGAGGGAGAATGATGGCTATGACATGCAAATTAATGCAGTATTATCCTTGCTTCCCGTGGAGCGGCACCTCCGCTGCCTGCCCAGTAAAAGTCAGTGCTTCCCCTTCGCAGGCGGCAGGACCCCAGCCCTGCAGTCTTTACAGGGAGAGACGGGCCTGGAATTGGCCTCTCACGTGGTCACTGCGTGTCCCTAGGCCCACGCGGCAGAGGCGTTTGCCGCCCAGGTGCCCCCTCCGGCCTGGCGGGTGAGGGAGGGGAGGGGAGCTTAACCCCAAGATCGCCCGCCACGGCCCCAGCCCTGAGTCGGAGCATTGGGGGCGGCAGGGCAGACGCTCGGAGAGGGGAGAGGGTCGGACCGTGCTCTTGCTTGGCGCCTGGTTGCCCGGTTCCTAAGTTATGTCAGCACGTTGTCAAGAGGCAGCAGAAGGATGCGCAGCAGGTCCCCGGCCACCGGCCACCCCGGCGAGTCGGCAGGACGCAGCTGGCCGCTGGCGCCGCCGGTCCCGCTGCGGGCGCGCGGCCATTCCTTGTCTTTCCGCCGCACAACGCCGACCGCTGTCTCGCTCCGGCTCCGTCCCCGCGGAAGCCAAGCGACCTCGCCAGGCCCGCGGTGCGGTCCGCGCTCCATGAGTCCGCGGTTCCGAGGCCGCCGGGCCCACGCGTGGGCGCCCCGCGCACACTCACCGCACGCACCCTCACGCACATGATCCCACAGAGACAGCACTTCGCCTCAGGCTCCCGGACGTTCTCTAGTAAAATACATAAATACGTAAATGAACGCGGGAAATATTCCCTAAAATAAGCGTGAAAGTTCCACTCGCACACAACGCTGAGAAACCTAGTTAGTGAAAGTAGTTGGTAAGTTTCTCTTTAGCAATTCCGGCACCAAACTGTTCCTGTCGTTTCTTTGTTCCGAATCAGTTTCCTGCCGCTGCAGCCAGAAACGATCTACTAAGTTCTTCCGAGCCGCCGCGGTTACCGAGACAGGTCCACAGAGTAAACCTCAGAATACTTTATTGGCTGCTTTGTATACATTGGAAAGTCCTATTTTGTCCATTTCGAGGACAGTATAAAACTATGTTCACTGTCTTTCAGGAAAGTTTGCACTAACATAACTTTTTAAAAACAGTTTTTAAACATCCGTAAGATACCCACAGGTAGTCTTGCGGCATCAAGTTTAACACAGTGTCAACAACAACAAAAACAAAAACCTGAAAAACGAGACAAGAAGAGAACCCCGAGACGCCCGCTGCGCGTCTCGCCCGCGGGGACCCGTCTCCGGCCCTGGGAAGGGGTGGCCCCGGTGGCGAAAGACAACACCCCGCCCCCCACCCCCCACCCGCTGCGCGCGTGCCCTTCCTCCCCAGCGGGCCCCCAGGGCCCACGGCCTCGCAGCCCTAGGACAGGTAATACATGCCGTAGGCGGCCACGGGCGCGGCGAGGAGTCCCGGCACCTGCGGCAGGGAGCCCGCCGCGCTGCCGTACACGGCCGGGGAGCCGTGAAGGTGGACGCCAAGCGGGAAGGGCAGGGCGAACGAGGGCAGCAGCGGCTTGGCCGCCAGCTTCAGCTTCTCCAGCTCGGCCTCCTGCAGTCGCTTGGCCTTGGCCCGGCGGTTCTGAAACCAAATCTTGACCTGCGTCTCGGAGAGGCTCAGGCTGCTGGAGAACTCGGCGCGCTCCGCGATGGACAGGTACTGCTTCTGGCGGAACTTGCCCTCCAGCGCCAGCAGCTGCGCGGTGGTGAAGGGCGTCCGCGGCTTGCGGTTGTTCTTGTGTTTCCTGAGGGTGCAGGGTGGAGGGCTGGGGGCGCCTAGGGGGAAAGAGAGCACAAAGCGGACGCTCAAACGCCAGCAGTGCGCGCCAAGGACGGTTCCGGATGCGTGTCCCGGCTGAGACCGCGGACCTCAGTTGAGACAAGATACCCCCAAACCTCCGGGGTAATAGAAGCGAGGCACCGGGGAGACGGCGCGCGGAGAGGGGGGCCGTTGTGGACTAGGGTTCTGCTCCCCAGATCGGTGGCCCTGCGTCCCTCGGGAGGAGGGGCACTCTGCCCACTTGGAGAAGCGAAACACTTGGGCGGGAAGCCGCCGCAAGCACTGAGTGGCGAGCGCGGAGGCCAAGCAGAAGTCACCCATCGCGGGGAGTGGCGGCAGCAGGAGGGGCGCTCGGCCGCAGAGGCTCCGAGACAAGAAGCCCCGGGTTTTGGGTTGCGGGCTCCGCCCCAGGGTAGCGCAGAAGCCTGTTTGGCGTGGGACCGGGGAGCCGCCGTGGGGTTCGCGCGCGCGCGGGAGGGGTCGGGTGGGCTCGTGTGGGCTGGTTTCTTTCTCTGCGCCCAGGCCGGCGCGTTAGTGGCAGGTTACTTTCCAAAGTTACGAGAGACAGCGTCCTTCCCGCCCTAGTCCTCCGAGCCCGGGCAGGGCGGGCTCCTCTCGCAGCCCAGAACCGTGCGACAGGGCACTTACGTGGGGAGGACAAGGGGGCGGCCGCCGGGACCCAGGCCCGGGGTTCCGCGGCGCCCCGCGGCCTCTCCTCCCGGGGCTCCGCGGGCTCCGCGCCCAGCCAGTGCTCTGCCTGCAGCAGCGACTTGACGCTGAAGGGCAACGGGCCGGACCCCGCAAGGTCCCTGCTGCACGTCCTGAGCCCAACAGGGTTCATGCCGAGCGACGCCGGGGCCATGCGCTGGCCGGCGGGCACGGGGCTGGCGGGGCTCAGCAGGCACGACGTAGGGCCAGCGCGCCGCGACACGGCCGGGGTCTCCACTGCGCCCCCGCCCTCAGAGCCCTATAAAAAGGCGGCGCCCCTTTCATGCCCAGCTCTCCAATCGCCGCTGCCGCTGCCGCGTGGGCCCAGGCGTCCATTGGTTTCGCTGGCCCGGGAGGGCGGGACGGCCGACTGGGACTCTAGCGCCCCAGCCCCGGCCTGCCTGGCGCACCCCTGTGACTTCCCAGAGCCCGGCTGTCCTCTCCCAGAGCGCTGCGGCCCGGCTGGGAGGTGCCTGGTACACCCGGGGAGCACGAGGCGCTGGCCCCAGCCTCCCCACGCGCAGGAGCCCACAGTGGGCGCGACCTGGTTGAGCCGCGGCCCGGGCACAGGTCGGGACCGCGCGCGGATCCTGAGACGCGGAGAGCTCGGCGCCGTCAGAGAGGCGGCGCCGGCGCCTCCCGTAGTGTCGTCCCTCCGTCGCTCGCCGGCTGCTCTTCCCGCTGCGCCCAGTCCGGAGCCTGAGCCCTCGGCGCGTGCCTGCTGTGGCCCAGGCGTTCCCTCCGAACCCTGGGGGCTGCTTCTGACTGACCCTGCGCCCGGACCGAGGACCCTGCTTCTGTCGCCTTGTAGTCGGGCCTCAGGTGCCCTGACCCTGAATGGCTTTTTAGGCACCCGTAGCTGCCGAACGCTCTCCCTGGCGTCCCACGGCCTGGCCCCAGGAACGGCCGGCGGGGCACGTCGAAGGTCCCCGGGCAGGGCCCGGAGCCGCGGAGAAGTCCGAGGGGCCGACCTCTCACCCGGCTGCGACGCAGGGCTTGGGGCACAGGCAGGGCGCCTCGGGCCGCTGTGGCGCGAGGTCAGTCGCTGGGTGTTGGATTCACCGTCAGCCTCTCCCGCTCCGCACTTGCTTGGCCGAATCGTCCGGAGTCGCGGGACCTGGGACCCGGGAAAAGCCCCGTGGCGCGGGCTTCCGACTGACCCGGCCAGACGAGGCCGGGCTGTCAACGGGGCCCCCGCGGATCAGGCGGAGAGGGATCCCCAACACGGCTCGTAGAAGGTGGGGCCAAGGCCCGATAGAGATTTACGCTTCGCTCGGATTATTTTTCTAAAACTGAACCAATCTTTGGTTTAAAAACCTTCTGCGGTGCTGCAGACGAGGCACCGCTCTGCAGCCTCTCGCGGAACGAAAGAAACCTCGACTGTGTTTTAGAATAAATCATGAGATTGTTTTGCAGGTAACACCTTTATGTCCGATTAATATCCCAGAACACGGAAACAGCAACCTAAACCCGTACATGTTTATTTTTGAAAAACCAAGGTGGTTTTTTTGTGTGTGTTTTTTTTTTTGCAGTACGCAGGCCTCTCACTGCTGTGGCGTCTCCCGTTGCTGAGCACAGGCTCCAGACGCGCAGGCTCAGCGGCCACGGCTCACGGGGCCCAGCCACTCCGCGGCATGTGGGATCTTCCCGGACCGGGGCACGAACCCGCGTCCCCTGCATTGGCAGGCGGACTCTCAACCACTGCGCCACCAGGGAAACCCTCAAAGTTGTTTAATGAAATCTAGCTTTGGGTGACACTTTATCCAGTTCAACTTGAAAAATTCAATTAGAAAGTTTCTCTCCATGCAAACTTAGAAGCATGACTGAAAGGGGCCCTCAGACTCCTCCAGGCCAAGCCTGCATCTGTGGCTAGATCAGTTCTTTCTGCATTCCAAGATGGATTGCCCCTTTCTAATGTAATAAAGATGTTCTGAGTTGATTGAAGATAATCGCATCATTAGAGCACTTTCTTTGAAGGCCTCTCTCCTGATAGCTTATCTTTAGCAGGCTACTCACAGGAGCGTTTGAAAAAGAATTTTAATGAGAATGACAGCCAGCTGCCTCCGCCTGTCCCATGTCCACTCAGGACACTCCGGAGGTGGCCTCTGGGTGGATGAAGTGGGGGCCTGGCTGCGGCCTGGCTAGCCTGGGGGTGGGATGGGGCCATGGGGCCAGACGCAGGGGCCGACCTTCAGGACCGGCTCCCTGAGGGTGTTGGACTGGTGTCTCTAGTTCCCAGCAAGGCTGGGCCAGTGCTGACCAAGCCCCTGACTGGCACTGGCTCCAGCAGGGGCGTAGAGGAAGGAGGGAGGGAGGATGTGGGGCTGGGGGAGAGCCCCTGGGTTTGGATATCAAAACCCAGACCCCCACACTGAGCACAACCAGGCCTCCAACCCAGTGTCGTCTCCGGCCCCGCTGGGCCCTGGGAGGGAGATGGGGCAGGGGACGGTGGCGGTGAGAAGGAAGGGATCCCACTTCTGTCAACGTGGGGGCTTTGGGCGCAGAACCCTGGACCCCGTGTGTAGGGGAGCCTGGGCCCCATCTCTGGCCACCAGGAGGGTTGAAGACACCTGCAGGGACCCGGCTTCCCAGCGGCCCAGGCGCAGGCCAGCCAGGCATGTTGTGTGGACAGAAGCACCCACCCCGTCCCAGGTGAGCCCCTGAAATGACGGCAAAGCCCCAAAGACTGCCCCACTCAATCCACCCTGGGGCAGACACTGTCCCCCCAGTTCGAGTGGCATTGTCCCTGCAGTTTGCTCTGAGCTGTGAGGGGACAGGAGGTCAAGCGAAGGCCCAGACACTTTTATTTCCTGTGTTCCTGTGCCTCCTTTTGATGCTGAATTCATGGGGAATGAACACATCCTTAGCTTCCAGAAATGAGTGATGAGTACAGACGTGGGGGGATTGGAAGCCCTGAGGGGCCTCCTCAGTGGAGTCAGTGTAGCGAGATGATTCTTGAGAATGGATTTTGTTTTGTGGGATTTATCCGGGCAAGTTTGGTACTGGGCAGGACTCAAACAGGAGTGCTCTCCCTCCTCTTAAAACCTGGTGGAGGGGAGGGTTTGATGCTGTGGAGGTGAGGTCACGTAGAGCTCACGCCAGACGGTGCCGCAGGGTTGAAGGTGATACCACGTTAGTGACTGAAGAAAGTGATGGTCCCCTTTTGTATGTGGATGGTGGGCATCCCGTCCTGGATGCCATTTACAGGGTGGTAGCGCAGTTTGCACACAAGGGACCATGACGGGCCGACCTCCTGGGTCTTGCTCCAGGGCGGGACCACCCACTCCTCAGGGCCCCTTCCAAAGGGCCGCACTTCCCAGACAGTGTAATCTCCAGGGGAACCATGTTAGAAACCATCGATTTATGCCTCATCCTCTGTGTCATTGCTGTCATTGCTGAGGCCCCAGAGAGCCTCCTATTCATCCTGAAAGGCCGGGGCCACTCCCCTCCTCAAAGGCATCTGTGTTGGAGCCTTTGAATTTTTCCTTCTCAACTTATTGGAAAATTGCTCCAAACACAAGTGGTACTTTACCCATGACTCTGGCCAGAGGGGGACTAGGTGATATGAGCTCCAGCAGCTAGTGGGTGTGCTAAAAGAGAGGCAGATGGGACGTGAGGTCCCCCAGGTGGGACGTGAGATGCTCCAGGTGGGACGTGAGGTCTACCTCCCCAGGTGGATGCCTTGGCGTCACTCAGGAGAGGACCTGCTCCCAGTCAGATGAGGCCCATGAGATGGGAAAGGCTCAGATGAAAGTGGGAGCTGAGGAGAGAAGGCCCTGGGACTCATCCTGCGACGCCATCACTTCATAGTGTCTCCTCACGTCTTTTTTTTGGCCGCACCTCGCAGCATGTGGGATCTTATTTCCCTGACAAGGGATTGAACCCGTGCCCCCTGCAGTGGAAGCGTGGAGTCTTAACCACTGGACTGCCAGGGAAGTCCCTCCCCACATCACTTCTTTTCTCCTGTTCACCTCTATCTTCTCTGCCAATTTACTTTCACATTTACTCTTTACATCCAGGGCTTTGAAACTTCGCCAAACCTCCTGATGGGGGAAATCAGAGGAGAAGCCCATCTTTATTGAGTGACCCCTCTGTCCGGAGCAATAGGTGCATATAGTTTTGTCCGGTACAGAATGACCCACCCCCCCCCAGGATGTCTGCAGCCTAGTCCCTGGGACCTGGCAACATGTCAGTGTACGTGGCAAAGGCGGGATTGAGATCGTTCATCAACTGCCCTTGGAAGGAACCATCCTGGCGCATCCAGGTACCCAATCTAATCATGAGGGTCCTCAAGGGCCCAGAGACATGGCAGCGTGGGAAGGAATGAGCTAGCCATAGCTGGCTTTGGTGGGCGGCCTCTAAGGCCTGGCATCCCCCAGAGCCTCCAGCAGGACCAGCCCAGGCTGCTGACACTTGATTTAGCCCAGGGAGACCCACTTGGGCTTCTGGCCCCAGAACTGTGCAGCAGTAAATCTGGGCTGTTTACAGTCAGCTGTTATGGCAACAGTAGGGAGCTGGTCTCCCCTCTGAGGCACCTCTTATCACCCCAGCTTTTGTGGGAGAGGAAATAGGCTCAGAGGGACAGACGACTTGGCAGTGGGGGTCAGGCAGGGTGGACCCAGCCCTGAGTGACTCTCAAGTCCGTGCTCTGCCTAGGGTGGTGGGCCTAGTGCTCTCCATGGGTCAGAGGCAGCAGGGAGCCAGGGCTCCATGGCACCTGGGACCTTTGCTCTGGCGCCAGCTCTCCCAGAGCCCAGGCCCCTCGGCGCATCCTAAAGCCTCCTTGCTGCCTGCCCAGCCCATCTCCAAGCCCCCAGGTGGGATGTGCTCAAGTCGCCTCTGCTGGCAGAGCTGAGAGTCAGACTGCCTGTGTGCGGTGGGGGTGTTGCTCTCTCCTGGGAGAACTGTCTGTTGGGCGTCTGACTGCAGAGAACAGGCAGAGCTGGGGGCCTCGGTGGGCACAGGACAGCAGTGGGCCAGTGAAGCCACCGTGTGCAGAAACAGTGGGGCCCTAAGGAAGGGCTCACCGTGCAGCCCCAGGTGCGGGCCCGAGTGTAGGACGGCTGGAAGAATCCATGAAGCTCCGCAGAGAGGATGCTATTTTGGAATTATTGAGTTGTAAATATTTGTTTT